CTGTGAGGTAGGAAAAAAGGATTCCCATTTCACAGATAAGGTTAACTGAGACCCAGAGAGGACAAGGGAGGAAAGGTGCGAAATGAGTTAAATACTGGCTATAGTCTGGGCACTCTGTTGAATGCTTTATGTATATACCTCAAGAGGAACATCTCCCCCACCCCAAGTTATTTTCCTTATTTCCTAGAGGAGAAAGGAACTCAGAGAGTAGGAGAGATTTGCCCAAAGCTCAACAGTCAGAAAAAGACAGGACCAGGAAACCTTCCCCTTTCCATTAGACCAGCTCTCTGATAAGGAAAATTGCAGTTTCCATGATTGCAAGGTCCTTGGGTCTAAGGCTGGCTCCCTCTTCTCTGAATAGATTCTTCTTCTGGCGGTGCCTACAAACAGTGACACTTGGCTGGCTGGACACAGTGGTTCGCCCCAGTAATCCCAGCACTCTGGGAGGCCGAGGCAGGTGGATCATGTGAGCTCAGAAATTCAAGGCCAGCCTGAGCAAGAGCAAGACCCTGTATCTAAAAATAGCTGGGCATTTTGGTAGGTGCCTGTAGTCCCAGCTACCTAGGAGGCTGAAGCAAGAGGATCTCTTTAACCCAAGAGTTTGAGGTTCCTGCGAGCTAAGACACCACAGCACTCTACTGAAGGCAACAAAGTGAGACTCTGTCTCAAAAAAAAAAAAAAATAACATTCTTCTATCACCCATTAAATGGGAGATACACTTTTATTTTGTGAAATTGCCATCCTGCTTACAACCAGCCTGGGGAAGAAGAATCAAGGGGCCTTGACCTCCTACACGGGCTCAAACCAAATCTGGGGCTCTGGTACAACTACAGCTCTGTTGAAAGTTTAAAATTTCCTGTTACCACAGCAACCTCCATTCTCCTGGGGTGTGAGCAGAGCTGCTCCCATCCCCTCCTTTTCCCCAATCCCCCTGAAGTTCTTCCATCTCTGAGATTCTGTGATTCAATTAATTATTGCCAATGCTTGCACTGTTTTTGTTGTTTTCATTTATCCTGTCTGCTGAGTCATGGTGTCCTGCCCTGGATTAGAGTAGTTATTCACCAGAACATTTGGCCACTCGTTACCATGGACACCGAGCAACCTACATCTTTCATCACCAGTTAATTCTCAGCAAAGCTGGATGCAAGTGCGGGTACCATTGCCCTCATCAAAGACACAAAGGGCATCAAAACTCCCCTGGATAAGGCGGGGCACTACTGACACGTGAACAAGAGCAGAATCTCTAGTCTCAACTGTGGAAATATCAAAAACAGCCTGGAGCTCATTACATCCATCCAAACTTTGTCAAGGCAGCAATTTAAAAAATAAGTCAACAAGTGTACCATTTTGTTTTCTGGTACATCTTTGGCAAATACTCTCATCCACTTGCTAGCCATTTTAAGATATATTTTTATGTAGAGAAGTTGTGAATGCTTTATGCCTATTACTACTCCCCTTGAAAGCAAAATGAAGAAGGCTTGAAACGCAGAACCCTGGAGGTGCTGGCTCTCAGGAGGGAGTTGCAGGTAGTAAGGGACAGGCAGCCACCTAGGGAGATGGAGAGGCAGCCACAGCCAGGCCCAGCCTAGCACAGACACCACTGTGGAAGGTTCTCAATGTTAAGAAAAGGGTGAAGGGGTTCAGAGATGATTAGGACATGAGCCACTGGGCAGAGAGAACAGGGCCATCAGCCCATGGCCCATTGCTCCTGATAACTATAGGACATCATGTTTGCAGAGCCCGGCAGAGGGGACCAGGGATCGATACATCAACACCACGGGCACTTCCCTGCTCATCAAACATCAGCATATGAGGAAATACACTTCCTTTGACTCTAAGGTCATTGGGTTCATTCCCTCACCTGTCCCTCATTCATGGGACATGATTCAAGGGCTGAGCACCAAGCCTCTGACCCCACAGATGAGGGGAGTGCTAGTCCTGACCTGGGGGCTTGTCTCATGCCCAACTGAAGGGTTGTCCAGCACCCCACCCTGCTCCAGCACCCCAACATGGAGGCCAACTCTCTTCCTTTTCTCACCTCTGAGACCATAGAGGGTGTGGCAGAGGTGATGGGCTTTACCTACGCCCCACCTGCTTCCATTCACTGGGAGAGCCTGACCTCATGGGGGCTGTTGGGAGGGACTTCGAGAGCTTTATAAGGCAGGACTGGTACACTGAGCACAGGAGAGACCTGAGAAGTGCCACGCCAGAGCAACCCCTACCTCCCAGCTCTGCAGGTGAGAAAACCCAAGAGGGGAGGGTGGACAGACCCCTTCCCCCATCAAAGAACCAGGCTACAGGCTTATGCCTTGCTGTCTCCAAGACTGAGCTCCTTCCCTCAGCCCAGGGTGGAGCCAGGCCTTGGCTCTAGCCATTCCTAGCCCCTCTTCCTCAGTCAGGACCCTGCACTGACCCTCTCCCTCTAGGCTCATCTCAGCCCTGGGAGTGAGGAGGACCAGGGTTCTTCTTGCCTCTCCCAAATGAAAAGACTGAGGCTGAGAGGGGAGATGTGACTTTCCCAAAGTCATATAAATTATGGAGCAAGGCCAGAACTGGGACCAGCAAGGGACTCCGGGATCCCATCTTAAGCTCTGTCCCAGACCAGAGCTGTCCAAAAGAACTTTCCATGATGAAGGAAATGCTCTATATCTGCACTTTCCAATATGGTAGCCACAGGTGCATTTGAAATGTGGTTGAAACTATTGTTTTAAATTAATTTAAATGAGAAGAGCCACCCGTGACTGGTGGCTACTGCAGAGACAACACACATGGGTAGCGTCAGACAGCACAGCCCTAGGTCATGGATCTTTCTCCTGTTTCTTTAGCAGCGAAATTCTTTTTCTCCCAAAGGAAACCTAAAAGAGAACCTCATTATGCAAAACTGTTAAAAGCAGCATCTTGGCTCAGCGCCCATAGTACAGTGGTTATGGCGCCAGACACATACACCAAGGGTGGCAGGTTCGAACCTGGCCCAGGCCAGCAATGACAATGCAACAAAAAATAGTTAGGCATTGTGGCAGGTGCCTGTAGTCCCAGCTACTTGGTAGACTGAGGCAAGAGAATCGCTCAACCCCAAGAGTTTGAAGTTGCTGTGAGCTGTGACGCCACAGCACTCTACCAAGGGTGACATACTAAGATTCTGTCTCAAATTTAAAAAAAAAAGGCAGCATTTTTATTACTATATTCTTACAAGGGACATTTTTTTTTTATTTCCTTGCTTTTTTTTTTTATTTCTTTGCTTTTTGTTTTTGTTTTTGTTTTTGTTTTTGATTTTGAGACAGAGCCTCAAGCTATCACCCTGGGTAGAGTGCCGTGGCATCACAGCTCACAGCAAATTCCAACTCCTGGGCTCAAGTGATTTCCTGCCTCCACCTCCCAAGTAGGTGAGACTACAGGTGCCCACCACAACGCCTGGCTATCTTTTGGTTGTAGTTGTCATTGTTGTTTGGCGGGCTGGGGCTGGATTCGAACCCACCAGCTCAGGTGTATGTACATGGCTGACACCTTAGCTGCTTGAGCCAAAGGTGCCAAGCCTTGATTTTTGTTGTTGAGACAGAGTCTCACCCTATGCCCTGAGCAGAGTGCAATGCGTCATAGCTCACTGCAATCTCAGACTCGGGCTATGGGCATCCCTCTTTCTTAGCCTCCAGAAGCTGAATTACAGGTTCTCGCTGCGGTGCCCAGCTGGGTTAACAATTTTTATCATTTACTTATGATAAAGCCAGTCAGAGCAATGACTAAGAGAACACGAAAATCGTGAATCCAGACAACAGATGCACCTTTGTAGTTTATATTCCTTTAAGCATCTGGTTCACTTCTGTATTATGGTTTCTCCAGACCTGATTCACCTGAATGGTGGCAGTTTAATTTTTTTCTTAACTGTTCAACTACAATCACCAGGATACTCCTCAGTTAAGGAATAAATGGAAAGAGAACCTTTCCTCTAAGGGCTGCCCCAAAATGGTGGGAGCTGGCCACACACTGAATATACTAGTGGTCTCCAAAATGATAGCATGTGAAAATAGCCGGGCATTGTGGTGCCTGTAGTCCCAGCTACTCAGGAGGCTGAGGCAAGAGGATCACTCGAGCCCAAAGTTCGAGTTTGATGATGCCACAGCAGTCTATCTAAGGTGACAAAGTTGAGGCTCTGTCTCAAAAAAAAAAGTTAGCATGTCCTCTGTAAGCTTTTGAATGTGTATGTTCCTTTGGGGTTATTATTTAAAAGTTCGCTTTATTTGTTTACTTATTTATTTATTTTGAGACAGAATCTCACTGTTGCTCCAGGCTACAGTGCTGTGGCATCATAGCTCACAACAACCGGAAACTCCTGGGCTCAAGCAATCCTCCTGCCTCAACCTCCTGAGTAGCTGGAACTATAGGTGCTGGCCACCATGCACAGCTCATTTTTCCATTTTCACTAGAGACAGTGTCTTGCTCTTGCTTGGGCTGGGCTCAAACTCCTTAGCCCAAGCGATCCTCCCACTTTAGCCTCCCAGAGTGCTAGGATTACATGTGTGAGCCACTGTGCCCAGCCTACAACTTCACTTTAAATTACAGGACTTGTGGGGCATACTGGCATGTGCCTGTAGTCCCAGTTACTAGTGAGACTGAGGTGGGAGGATCACTTTGAGGCCAGGAGTTTGAGACCAGCCTGGGCAACAGAGCAAGACCCTGTCTCAAAAAAAACAAAAAAAAATTACACGCACATAAACCTCTACAGAGCTGCTGACATGGCCTCAAATTCTGCAGAACAGTTTGGAAATTAAGTTTTTCATTTCTCCAAGAGAACCAGGAGCTGTAATTGGGAAGGTAAAGAGGAAAGAGGCAAGGGTTGGGGAACAGGCAGGAGCTGGCAGGAACCAGGGACACAAACTAAAGAAATAGTCACAACTCCAAGCAGGATGGCAGACCTGTCAGCAGGTCTGGTCCAGCCCCCCACTTGGGCCCACACGGGGACAGGCTCACCTTTAAGCTGGGCCCCTCTCCCCTTTGCAGACAAGATGCAACGACTGTGCATGTATGCACTGATCTCTGCACTGGCTCTGGCCACCTTCTCCGAAGCTTCTTGGAAGCCCCACTCCCAGCTGCCAGGTGTGCCGTCAGGTCCAGTGGCCAACAGAGACCTGGAGCAGCAGCAGCACTGGCTGGACCAGATGAAGGCAGCCTCTCACCACCGAAGGCAGCTGGGGCCCCAGGGCCCCCCACACCTTGTGGCAGGTAGGAGCTGCTGACTGCCTTCCCTGCTCCCTCAGCCCAGCCAGGTCTGGCTAAACTCTACCCTAGACTGACGCTAACCTCAGTTCCCAGAAGGTAGATGTCTCTCCCCTATTTTCTCCCCTCCTCAGATCTGTCCAAGAAGCAGGGGCCATGGATGGAGGAAGAAGAGGAAGCTTATGGATGGATGGACTTCGGCCGTCGCAGTGCTGAGGAAGGGAACGAACATCCCTAAAACCGAACTTCAGAGCCCAGCCACCTCTCACTCACCCCAGCCCTGTCCAGTGAAAATCAAATAAAAATAAAGTAGTTTTAGTGGATCAATGGATTGTGTCATATGCCATGGGACAGAGGAGGGGGATTGGGTTGGAGGTAGAGTTGAGGCAGGGACCATCACTAACTCTTCTTGGGGTCCCCAGAGCACTGCACTGAACAAGCCCCCACATATGTGGGTAGAAGAATAGGTGTTAGGGTTTGTAGACAGAGAAGGCTTTTTTTCTTTGCAGTTTTTTTTTTTTTTTGGCCGGGGCTGGGTTTGAACCCACCACCTCCAGCATATGGGGCCAGCACCCTACTCCTTTTGAGCCACAGGCGCTGCCCCAGGGAAGGCTTTTTAAAAGCTAAATCATGACAAGGCACAGTGGCTCACACTTACAATCCTAACACTCTGGAAGGTAAAGGCAAGAGGATTGCTTGAGCTCAGGACTTCAAGATCAGTCCTCACAAGAGCAAGATCTCAATTCTACTAAAGATAGAAAAACTAGCTGGATGTTGTGGCAGGCACCTGTAGTCCCAGCTGCTCAGAGGCGGAGGCAGGAGGATTGCTTGAACCCAGGAGTTTGAGGTTGCTGTGAGCTAGGCTGACACCATAACACTATAGCCTGGGCAGCAGAGTGAGTGAGACTCTGTCTCAAAGAAAAAATAAATAAATAAAAAGATAAGTCCTGTCGCTCTTGGTTTTAACCTTCCCATTCCACTTAGAACACAACTTTGACTCCCTGCTGAAGCTCTAACAGGTGGCTCCGCCATCCTGCCCACACATACAGTGTCAGGTGGCTCTCTCCTCCTCCTCCTCCTCTTTCCTCTCCCTTATACACACACACCGTGTTCTTTCCTGCTCAGAAGCTTCATCCTTGCTGTTCTCTGCACCTGAAACGCCCTTCCCCAGGCACGAGTGGGGCAGCTCCCCTTTTTCTCCTCAGGGTCTTGGTTGAAATGCCTCTTCCTCAGGACCCACCCTTCCTACCCTTGAGACCAGCCTGGGCAATAGAGCAAGACTCTGTCTCAAAAAGAAAAAAAAATTACAAGACATAAACCGCTACAGAGCTGCTGACATGGCCTCAAATTCTGCAGAACAGTTTGGAAATTAAGTTTTTTATTTTTCCCAGAGAACCAGGAGCTGTAATTGGGAAGGTAAAGAGGAAAGAGGCAAGGTGAGGGGAACAGGGTCAGGCTGGCTAGCATGCGGCTCTGTAAGCGTTTGAGTGCATATATTCCTTTGGGATTACTATTTAAAAGTTCACTTTATGTATTTTTTGGTTTTTGAGACAGAAACTCACTCTGTTGCTCCATGGCATCATAGTTCATGGCAACCTTAAACTCCTGGGCTCAAGTGATCCTCCTGCCTCAGCCTCCTGAGTAGCTGTCCAGTGAAAATCAAATAAAAATAAACTAGTTTTAATGGATCAATGGATTGTGTCATGTGCCATGGGCAGAGGGGGATTGGGTTGGAGGTAGGGTTGAGGCAGGGACCATGGCTAACTCTTCCTGGGATCCCCAGAGCACTGCACTGAATAAGCACCCATGTATGTGGGTGGAAAAATAGGTGTTAGGGTCTATAGACAGAGAAGGATTTTTAAAAGATAAAAACACAGGCAGCGCCTGTGGCTCAAAGGCGTAGGGCGCTGGCCCCATATGCCGGAGGTGGCGGGTTCAAACCCAGCCCCGGCTAAAAACTAAAAAAAAAAAAAGATAAAAGATAAAAACACTGTCCCTATTATTCTCTACTACAGTGTCAACTAAAGAAAAACCAAATTTAAGCTCTTTAAAGAATTAAAGTTACACCATGGCACTCTACCCAGGGTGCTGTCAGAGTGAGACTCTGTCTCAGAGAAGGAAGGGCTCAGGGTCCGTAGCACAGTGGTTACGGCGCCAGCCACATACTCCAAGGCTAGCAGGTTCAAAGCTGGCCCAGGCACAATGACACCTGCAACAACAACAAAAAAAAGCTGGGGCTCAGCGCCTGTGGCTCAAGTGGCTAA